GGAGATGCGCACGGAGGGGGGTGGGGTGGGGGGGGGGGTTGAGATGTGGGGCAGGGTTAGGGATGGCAGCACATTCGTTCATGTAATGATTCACTATTTCATCATCTCCCTGGCTGGGTCACATCCGTAACAATATCTGGCTCAAGCCCACGCCTGTGTTGGACCATCAACCCCACGATGAGAACACAGAGGAGGCGATGCGCCCCTGGTGCCGTGCTGCGCCGAGCGACGCGCGGGGGCGTCGTGCTTGGCCTCTCGTAGCCGCCCCACCCGGCTTGTGCCACTCCCTGGGTTCGGGGGTACGACCACGTCTCCGTCTCCGTGCGGTGCCGTGGCTACCGGCAAAGCGGAACGACGCTCGAGCTCCTGGCGACGCCAGGGTCCCCGTGCCACGATTGCCGTTCCGTCGCTCGCCTCGTTCGCCCGCCAGTCGGCCCCGTCCGGAGACACATCCAGCCCAAGCCCGTCTGGTTTCCACGTCAACGTGTCTCCGATTTTTGTGCTTGCTCCCTGGTGTGCATTGCGTTGCTTTTCTATCACATCGGCGTCCACAAAACGCTCCCCCGGCGACCCCCGCCCCGCTCGAGCCATCCCCCAGCACGGGCAGTGAATGGGCGGCGTTGCGGTGCCGTTCCTTCCCAACGCGCCGGCGATGAGCGCACCGGGGGCCACTGAAGCCGATGGACGCGCTGCACTGCGCTCTCGTTGAACCCCGAAGCTTTGCGTCGCTAGCTCCGAATTATTACCGAGATACGAACGGGGCCCTCTGTGCGCCGCACCGATAGCAGTCCGGCCCGACAAACGCCACGGATGCTCGCGCATCCGCATCAGCCCCACCACGAGGGCTTCCTCTCCTCGCAAGAGGCCGAGCGCCGAGACGCCAGAGCGACGGAGCGGCAGGAGACGGTCACGGGCAGCTCCCGCGAACGCAGGGTTTCCGGCCAATCGGAACGGCTCATCGCCATCTCCACGGCAACGCCGCACGCCCTCACATCCTCGTTTTGCCAACTACCTCACCGTGTCCTCTTCGGTGTCCCCCTCTTTCCGTCTCGTTCAACCGCCACGTTGCCGGGCGTTCTTTCCCGGCGACGTGGTGTGTCGATGTTCTGGTGACGCGTTCGAACATCTCAGGTCTCCTCTCGCTCCGTTTCCTTCGCCATCGACGACGCTACCTTTCTCTCGTCGTCCCGCTTCTTTGCGCTTCGCAGAATCGTTTCGCCTTGCCCCACCAAAATATCGATCCGGGCGTTCTCATCTCCATCGCCCTCATCGCGTGCGCCGATCAATTTTCGAGCGCTCAGCGCTCCGAGCCACGCATTAACTATTTAAACGTAACTATTTTTATTTTATTTTACCAGGTAAGGCCCACTGAGGCATGAAGCCCTATTTCAGAAGCGACCTGGCCACAAATGATAGCTCAAGGCAAGTGACTACTCACGTGGAAATTTATAGCTTCCAAAATAATCTAAATGCATGTGGTTTCTAAATGTGGAGGGAAAAACCGGAGAACATGCAAACTTCAAATACAAAGCAGGCGTCAGGGGCGGGATCGAACCCAGGACGTCCTGCATACAAGGTGAGGTCGTTAACATCTCGCCACCGTGGCATAATCGCCACAAACGGATCGAACTTGAGGGCTGCGATCAGCTGGACGACGAGGAACTTCTCACGCTGCTCTCCGCTTGCGAGTGGTGGCCTGATTCCAGGCAGCAGGCGGTGTCTTAAGAAGAATGCGATATGGCACGTGCGGGTGTGAAATCCCCAGATGTAGCAGCGAACAGCGGGGAAAACGTGCCTTTCAAATCCATTCGCCGTGCATTCTGACGCTCCGAGGTCACGGCAGCAGAGCGCATTTCAGCCGATCGCAACAGCAACCACAAAAAGGCCACCCTCGCTAACCGCAATCACGGCAACCGAGAACGCGGCGCTTCCGTGTGCCAAGAACGGCCCCTCCATCTGGACGGCCGCGAGCGTATCGAAGCGGACACGGGTTTCAACGCCACGGATTACGTGGTACTGACGGGCGAGCCCACGGCGGGTTGGGGACACCGACGCTGGCCGGCGATGCGGTGACCGTGGAGCTCCGCGACATTCGCGTTGGGGGTTTGGGTGGGGGGGCGTCCCCGTGCCACCCAGCACTCGGCATCGCCCTCGAGCCTCAGAGTCCAAGAAACCCGCAGGCCTCAAAGTCGCATCGCAGGCAGAGGCGCAGTCCGGCAATTCCTCGGTTACGTCGCCGCTGACGGCCGGGCCTTCCGTTAGACGGAGGTCAGCAGAGCCCCACCTCGAGGAGTGATTGGCCTACTCTTCCACGCTGCCCAGATGTCTTGGAAGAAGCGGTAGTACCAACACTTTAGCCCACCTCGCCCGACCGACCAACTGTGGTTGTAAACATTTACACTGCTGGATGCTCAGAGGTGGCGGTGATGGTGGTGGGGATTTAAAAAAAATATTGTGCGACAACGCTCCTCAAAGCATCGCCTCTCCACTTCGTCTCTTCCACATGTAACGTTGACCCCCTGTGCAGGACACCAACCCGCTCTCTGGTGTTACGACTCCATTACGCTTCACCGCTGGTGTTCCCCGAAGCCAGCCCCATCTGACCGTACACGCTGTAACCTTCCCCCTGTTTTCATTTGTTTGTTGTTTCCCTTTCAATAAAATACTTTCGCGGAACCCACCCGCACACGGACCCACTTGGGTGGGCCAGCGAGCCCAAACCTCCCCCCCCCCCCCTCCGTAGGGTCCTGTCACGCCAAAATCGGGTCGCTGTTCGTGGAGTTTCTGTTTCCGCCCCGGTATTATACCGGGCTCACAGCAAGTTGCAATAAAAACCCCAACAAATACATATACATATATACTTTGGAGAACAAGAAATGTAATTTGTGCCATTGTTTTAGTTGCCGCGTTGGGAAATCAAATAAAACCGGCGACCTTTGGATTACAAGTCCGGTGTTCCGCAAGCCTGGTGAGCTAACCCTAAATAATAATAATAACCACCAGAAATGAGTCCCTATTATAACCCTTGGTTACAAACACGACGTTCCCATTTGTGATGTAGGACCCATGTTTAAGTATCTGACAAACACACACACAGGGCCACGACTGGCCAGAATGTTTAATCGTGGGGTCAGCATTACCCAACCCCAGCGCCCGATGGCGGGGGGGGGGTGGGGGGGCACGGCACACGAGGCCCCCAACGCTGGCAGCATCGCCGGGCCAACCGCCTCCGAACGCTGCGCAATCTACGACGACGACACTGCCGCCGGTGGCACACGGAGCCACCAACGATCCGCGTTTGATCGGAAACATGTCGAAATAACAATAATAAAAATGACAACAACTACAACTCACATTGCAGCCTTCGTCCTCGGAGCCACCATCCCTCTCGCTGGACACGGTGCCCGGTGGCGTGGGGGCCCCTGCATGCACAAAACAACAACTGCTTCATTTTGTACGGCGTGCAAATGCAATCGCGTCTCAAGGCGCGTCGTAGAATGTCTCCTCGAGGATGCAAAGCGTTTGGACGTGAATTATGGGAGAGCAACAATTCCGCGGAAAAAAAAACTTTGGCGGGGCCCTCCTGGGGGAAAAAAAAAGCACTTGCCCCAACAGTCTGTTGAGGCTGTAAGGGGGGATATTTGTCTTTGTGTGAGTGCGGCCCCAGAGACAGCAGGCAGGATGGTCTCTGTCGTGGATGCTCGTCAGCCTCCGCCGGGTACACGGGCAGACAGAGCGGGGCGGAGGGGGCGGAGAAAGAGCAGGGGGACCAAAGGAAGCAGGGAGAGTGGAGGGGGGGGATCGGGGGGCACGGGGTAGAGTGGTGGGCCTCCCCTCCATTGCACCCACCGAGGTTGAGGTCCTCCAGGGCCTTGCGAACGCCGCGGTCGAACGCGCGCGCGTCAGCCGGGCTCTGGAAGGTGAGGCCGAACTTCTTCTGGTGGATGCGCCAGTGGTGGAAGGTGGGCGTCACCTTGTTGTACACCAGGTCCTGGTCCAGCAGGCACTCCAGCATGACCTGCGAGGGCGGCACCGCCGCGACGCACCTCAGACCGCCGTCGCCTCGTGCGCGGGACGCGGTTCTCGCGCCAAACCGTTTCTCCGCTCGCGCTTCCGAGTCACCGCCGCCGGTGGCAGGAGGGCAAGGCCGGCAACGCGTGAGGGTGGCTTTTTCCACCGAGCAGGAACTGAGCCGTGCTACGCTGGCCTCGCACGCCATCCGAATTTGGTTCGGGTCAAAGCCGTGCTGGTCGGCGGGGCTGCAGACACGCGCGACGTCATTCACTGAAAAACACAAACGCCGTGTCATCTGCATGCGTCCTGGTGTGAAGACGTGCGTGGTGACATGAGTGGCACGGCACGGTTTTTACAGTGGAAAAGCAAACTGTGCTTCCTGATCCGCACCACGCTGGCTTGGCACTGCCCCAGCACGGCTCGGATTTGCGAGTGGAAAAGAGGCATGAGTGAAATGGAATCGATCATTCACTTAACATGGTCTCATTTCTAAAGACCGCCGCGGAATTTAAACGAGGCTCTTGGTGTTATTCCTCTGAGCCAACCAAGCAGCTTTTGAAACAAAATTCTTTGGAGACCAGAAATTTGGAATCCAGATACAAATTTCAGTCACATAACTGGTTCGCGATCAACCCTTGAATGGCATATGACCTAACTCCTAACATCTCTGAGCATCCCTGCCACTTGAAGCAGCACGCACGATGCTGCTGTGTTGTAGCCGTTGAGGCCACTGCTGCTGCTGCAGCGGCTGCACACTCCGCTTTGCTGCCATGCTGCGGAGGAAACACGTTTCTGAATGCAAATGCACGTGGAGTGCGTGCACCCCAATGTTCGGTGAGGCCCAGGGCTCCCGTTTACTCGAGCCGGAATCCGATGCTGGTGACCACATTAAAACATTTTCTCTTCATGACAATAAATATGATAATAAGCATATTTAATATGATTATTATAATAATAATCATATTTAATAATCATCATATTTAATAATCATGTATTAATTGAGAATTTGTAAATCGCACAGTTTTCATTGACAGCAAAGTGGTACTTATTTTATCCATCCTGGAGGGCTGATTGGCTGATTTAACCCCAAAACCAGGATTTAATTGACCAACCTTCCGAAAGCGCGCCGCTCGCTCCAAACGCTGAGACACCTGGTCAGTAAGTAAACAATTATATATACACGAGTACTGATATCAAAACATGTCAGCTTTAAGTCAACTACAGCCCATATTGGGCCACTCAAGCAGCATGAGTGGCCCCATATCGCTCGCCAACGACACGGGAATGTGGAATTTCTGGCCCCAGCGCAGGTGTGGACCAGAAGGAAGTGGGGGGGGGGCGGGGAGGGGGGGCGGTGCAGCCCAGTGGGAGTGCACACCACAAATCACACCCTTTGTGTGGATATCAACATCGCTGCCGTTAAGACTGTGCCTCCAGCGTCGGTACGCGTCGGGGGGGGGGGGGGGGGGGGGGGAGACCACCTAAAAATATACGAGCCGAGAAGAATGTCAAGAATCCTCCTGTTGTCAACTTTCGCGCTGACCACGCCGGTGGAACGGCGGCTACTTCCACGAGGGTTCAACCCCCCCTCCCCCCCGGTGTCACGCGCAGGGGGAGGGGGGGGGGGGAGTTGTGGTAAACCGTCCAGGCCCGAGGGGAAAACTCCCGAACTCCCCGGGCGACGCTCCAACTTCTGCGAAGTTCGGGAATGGCGACACCGCGCCCGGCAACCCTCCTGCGCAAGGAGCGACGAGGTTCGGGTTCCGTACAATTAATTTTTCGTGTCGGGTGTCGTGGAAAACCTCCCTTCAACCGACGCGGCCCCCAATGGTGAAGTTGCGAACGTGAACAAAACGTGGCCCATTCACGACCGCTTGGGCAGCACGGTCGGCGTTGCTGCAGAGGGGCAGACGTCTGGCTGTAACTACCAGCGAAACGCCCCGCGAGTTCCCAGCTCTGAGATGTCGTGACGTCGCTCTCCCCGACGACAGTACCAGCGGCTGGCGGTGCTGCTTAAGACGTAACAAGATTGGCTATGCTCGTTCATCGCGTGACAACTTCACTCATCGGCCGTGTCGGGTGGAGGAGGAGGGTTTGCGACACACTTTTTTACTTTCGCCATCTAACCCAAAAAATTTATGTTACTGGTCTCGGAGGCCTCCGTGTGACGAGCAATTCGGTTTTTTAAAGAGCTAGTTTCATTTTACAGATTTACATTTGGGGTTTGGAAGTTTGCCTGGGGCAACAGAACACAGTGACGTTACAGGGTGCTCAACATCCCTTTTTACAACGAAGAGCACGCTCTGGTAAGTGTGCGGAGACATGAGCGACATTGGCAGGAATTGCATCATCGACTCCGTTCAGCTTGGCACGGCGGTGAGCAAGCCGACCGCCGGACAATTCACTCGCCTAAAAATAAAAATAACCCGGAAGCAGAAACAGAAGTGGTGTGACCTGCTGCAGTGTGGTGGTTGGGTGAGTGGGTAGTTAGGTGGGCAGTTGGGTGGGTGAGTGAGTTGTTGTGACCTGCTGCAGTGTGGTGGTTGGGTGGGTGGGTGAGTTGTTGTGACCTGCTGCAGTGTGGTGGTTGGGTGAGTGGGTAGTTGGATGGGTGAGTGAGTTGTTGTGACCTGCAGTGTGGTGGTTGGGTGGGTGGGTGAGTTGTTGTGACCTGCAGTGTGGTGGTTGGGTGAGTGGGTAGTTGGGTGGGTGAGTGAGTTGTTGTGACCTGCAGTGTGGTGGTTGGGTGGGTGGGTGAGTTGTTGTGACCTGCAGTGTGGTGGTTGGGTGGGTGGGTAGTTGGATGGGTGAGTGAGTTGTTGTGACCTGCAGTGTGGTGGTTGGGTGAGTGGGTGGTTGGTTGTTTGAGTGGGTGGTTGGTTGTTTGAGTGGGTGGTTGGTTGGGTGAGTGGGTGGTTGGGTGAGTGGGTGGTTGGGTGGATGAGTGGGTGAGTGGGTTGTGGTGACCTGCAGTGTTGGTAGTGGTTGGGCAGTGTTGTGGATGAGATGAATCAGTATCCAGTAGCAATAGTGGAGGACTCGGTGAGTGTGTGCAACGTGGGAGCTGTCACCCCAGGTGGAGGTGCTTGGTGGTGGTGGTGGTAGTGGTGGGGGTAGTAGTGCCAGTGATGGTCGTGGTGGCAGTGGCGGCGATGGTGGTGGTCTCGCGAGTTGTGGCCATGACAGTTGATGGCAGTGGTGGCATTGGTGGCGGAGGTGGTGGCGGTGGCAGTGGTTGGCGGTGGCGGTGTTGGTGCTGCGCTCACCAGGTTGTCCCTGGGCCGCTCCCCGTGGATGCGGAAGGCGGTGGCGGCGGTGACGGCGGCGGCGGCGGCGGTGGTGGCGGCCGTGGCGGCCGGATCGTCGGGGCCGCGCTGCCTGTAGACCCCCACCTTGCTGAGGCCGCCGCCCCCCAGCGGCACCCAGCCCCCGCTCGAGTCATCGCGCGTCATCACCACGGCGCGCACGCACACCATCGGGCTGTCACTGCGGGGGAACGACGCGGCGGGCGGAGGCGGCGGCGGCTTCGTCAGCATCGGAATCATCGCAGTCACTCCCAAACGGCTGCCACTGCCTCCACCCCCGCTCTCCAATGTGTAATAACAATCATAGTTGGCACTTGCACGTGCATACAAGCCTCGGCAAACTTGTAGCGCCTTACATCGCCTGTAATCTCAAAGATGAAAACTGGACCATGCAACTCACACTATGGACCATGTAAATAAAACCAGAGAGACCCACACAAACCCAAAGAGATACATATAGACTCATACAGACCCACAGAGATACGCAAAGAACCACAGAGATACATAGCGACCTATATACAGTGAGGGAAAAAAGTATTTGATCCCCTGCTGATTTTGTACGTTTGCCCACTGACAAAGAAATGATCAGTCTATAATTTTAATGGTAGGTTTATTTGAACAGTGAGAGACAGAAAAACAACCAAAAAAAATCCAGAAAAACGCATGTCAAAAATGTTATGACTTGATTTGCATTGCAATGAGGGAAATAAGTATTTGACCCCTCTGTAAAACATGACTTCGTACTTGGTGGCAAAACCCCTGTTGGCAATCACAGAGGTCAGACGTTTCTTGTAGTTGGCCACCAGGTTTGCACACATCTCAGGAGGGATTTTGTCCCACTCCTCTTTGCAGATCTTCTCCAAGTCATTAAGGTTTCGAGGCTGACGTTTGGCAACTCGAACCTTCAGTTCCCTCCACAGATTTTTTTATGGGATTAAGGTCTGGAGACTGGCTAGGCCACTCCAGGACCTTAATGTGCTTCTTCTTGAGCCACTTCTTTGTTGCCTTGGCCGTGTGTTTTGGGTCGTTGTCATGCTGGAATACCCATCCACGGCCCATTTCCAATGCCCTGGCTGAGGGAAGGAGGTTCTCACCCAAGATTTGACCGTACATGGCCCCGTCCATCATCCCTTTCATGCGGTGAAGTTGTCCTGTCCCCTTAGCAGAAAAACACCCCAAAAGCATGTTTCCACCTCCATATTTGACGGTGGGGATGGTGTTCTTGGGGTCATAGGCATTATTCCTCCTCCTCCAAACACGGCGAGTTAAGTTGATGCCAAAGAGCTCCATTTTGGTCTCATCTGACCACAACACTTTCACCCAGCTGTCCTCTGAATCATTCAGATGTTCATTGGCAAACTTCAGACGGGCATGTATATGTGCTTTCTTGAGCAGGGGGACCTTGCGGGCGCGGCAGAATTTCAGTCCTTCACGGCGTAGTGTGTTACCAATTGTATTCTTGGTAACTATGGTCCCAGCTGCCTTGAGATCATTGACAAGATCCTCCCGTGTAGTTCTGAGCTGATTCCTCACCGTTCTCATGATCACTGCAACTACACCAGGTGAGATCTTGCATGGAGCCCCAGGCCGAGGGAGATTGACAGTTCTTTTGTTTTTCTTCCATTTGCGAATAATCGCACCAACTGTTGTCACCTTCTCACCAAGCTGCTTGGCAATGGTCTTGTAGCCCATTCCAGCCTTGTGTAGGTCTACAATCTTGTCCCTGACATCCTTGGAGAGCTCTTTGGTTTTGGCCATGGTGGAGAGTTTAGAATTTGATTGATTGATTGCTTCTGTGCACAGGTGCCTTTTATACAGGTAACAAGCTGAGATCAGGAGTACTCCCTTTAAGAGTGTGCTCCTAATCTCAGCTCGTTACCTGTATAAAAGACACCTGGGAGCCAGAAATCTTTCTGATTGAGAGTGGGTCAAATACTTATTTCCCTCATTAAAATGCAAATCAATTTATAACATTTTTGACATGCGTTTTTCTGGATTTTTTTGTTGTTATTCTGTCTCTCACTGTTCAAACAAACCAACCATTAAAATTATAAACTGATAATTTCTTTGTCAGTGGGCAAACGTATAAAATCGGCAGGGGATCAAATACTTTTCTCCCTCACTGTAGGTACATAGACACCTATACAGACCCAAATAAATACATAGAGAATCAAACTCGAGTCGCCAGGTTCGTTAGGCAGCGAGGCGCTAACCACCACACTATGCCGCCGCTACCCAACGTGCAATGCCACCACCACTTTAAGATGTTTTTCTTGTTCGTGTTTTTGTTTTTTTGTTTGTTGTGGTTGCATCCGATTCAAGAGAGCCGGATGGCTCACAGGGCTATACCAAAATAAACTGAAAAAACTGAATAAACTGAATAAACTGAACTACGACCACCACCAACCAGCGCCGCTTAGCAAAAAAGGTGACCACCAAGATCTCCCCGCTCACCCCGCCGCCACTCCAAGAGTAATAATTAATCTCGGCAGCCTTCGCGTGGTTAAACTCGGCGAACAGAGTTTGTAGAAGTGAAATCGCAACGAGAATAATGAATGACGCCGATGCCAGCACCCGTTGGGCTCTGCGAGCGCACAGTTCCAAGGTTGGCCACGAGGAGGCGGCGTTGCCGATTCTACCTTCGCGAGGCTCCCGGGAGAAGCGGAAGACTTCTGCGACTCGCCGCGCATGCGGCGGCAGCAGCAGCAAATGTGGTCCAGGAGCTCGATTTTTTTTTATTTTACTCGGTAAGGCTCACTGAGCTCTTCAACTCATTTTCAGAAGCGGACCTGGCCACAAATGATTGCTCAACGGAGTGGCTTATCACGTGGAAGTGTACGCGTGATGTTGACTCTGAATGTGGAGGGAAAAACCGGAGGACCCGGAGAAAAAAAAAATCCACGCCACCAAGTGGAGAGAGACACGCAAACTCCAAATATACAGCGGGCGGCAGGGTCGGGATCGAACCCACGACCTCCTGCGTACAGGGCGAGCGAGTTATGGCCATGTCGAGGTCTGATAGCCACACAACGAGAGGGCTTTGCGAACATCGAGAGTTAGCGTGGGTTTCGCCGGTGCCTTCTCCGTTGAAGGCCCGCAGACTCGCTCCAGTGGCTGGCCAGCCGAGTTACTGAGTGGGAAATCAACGTCTGATCGTGATTCTGGTTCACGGTACGTATTTTGGGTTGCATGACCACAATCGGAAGGTTGCTTGAGTTCAAATCCTGGTTGGGGGTTGGCACAGACCATCATCCCTCCCCCTCTACCGGCTCACAAAAAAAGTGGTCCAGTTTATGGGGGAAGTCAACGGTGGTTTTCCAATGGGTAAACTCGTCCCCGCAAATAAGGGTGTGGAAATTGCACTGTTGGCTCAGCGTTGTAAACAGGCGTGAGCACTGCCTCGATTGGGAAGTAGCAGTCTGCTTTTGAATCCGCTGATGAGAAAGAGAACGCCGAAACCGGCCCAGACAGAGTTTACTGCTGCTAAGATGCACTCCCAGAAGGCCGTGCGGACAATGATTTGGGTCACAATTTTTTTTAATTTTGCATGTGGAGAGACCGACGTTGGGAAGGTGTTATTTATTCAGGGATGATGGCTTGCTGTCTAATTGCTGGGTGGATGTTTCCAGCCGAGTCTGCAGGTTTCTAAAAATACACCGGAATTAAATGTGTCAGTGGTGCACATCCGCAGCCACCGCTGAAACGGTGACGATTTCGCGAGTCCACAAGGGGTTCACAACGTTACAAATGAAATAGAAACGAGGAGACAGACCTCGGGGAAACAAGTTAGACAGAAGTCCTGGCCTTGGGGAGGGCTGGGTTGCTGCTCAGAGACACCTGGAGCAGCGTGGCGATAGCTTCACAGTTGGTTCTGCACATTCATCAGTCACCCCCCCCCCTCCCCCCCCCAACACTATCCCTGTGGCTATCGCAGATGGAAACTAAATGTTACAAAGTTCGTGGTTGCGGATCAACGCAATTCCGATTTTTATTGGACGGTTCTAACATTGGTGGAGGATGAGTTTACGTGCAGGGGACCGTGGTGCCTGCACGGCGCTCCCGAGACCACCGGCCGCGGTCCCTCCGAGCGACGCGCGGCTGCTGCCCTCCAGCGCCCACCCCCCCGACCACGACGGAGGCCTCCTCCACTCCTCCCCTCCGCCTCCTCCTCCTCATCGGGGTGAAGTGCTGCCCCTTTAGAGGTGCCACCACGTGCGCTCTCTGGTCATCACGATTCCACCCCCCCCCACCACCACCACCACCATCGTACTCCAACCCTTCCCAAGCTCGTGCTACTGGAGGTAGCAGTCACGATTTGAGGTGACGATTCGACCGTGTGCTTTTGAGTTTGTCGGGGCTGCGCCCGTGTGTGGCCCTGCAGTAACAGATTTTCCCAGCTCGTCAATTAAAAGCCCTGCAAACCTTCAAAACTAGCTGGGTAACTGGATAACTGGGACTTTCCGTGTAACGAATAAACATCGATTGATAACACATGCAGGTAGGCCGCCACAGTGGCGAGATGTTAACTACTTAATCTGGTATACAGGAGGTCGTGGGTTCAAACCCGACCCTGACACCTTCTGTAAATTGGAATTTTCCGTGTCTGTCTCCCCGTGATCGCGTGCATTTTTCTCCGGGACAACCAGTTGTTCATGTTTGTTCATGTTTTTTGCTTGTTGCGGTTGCACTCGATTCAAGAGCCAAATGGCTCACAGGGCTATACCAAATAAATTAAAACTGAAACTGAAACCAGTTGTCCCCTCCACATTTAGAATCAACATCACGGGTTTTAGAGTATTTGGCTGCTATACATTACCACATTATGAAAAGCCACTTCGTTAAGCTATCATTTGTGCCAGGTCGCTTCTGAAAAAGAGCTAGACAACTCAGTGGGCCTTACCCGGTAATAACATAAAATCCATCTCCTGAACCACATTGCTTCTGCTATTGTTAAATAAATAGTTTGGTTCAGCTAGGCCTGCAAGCAGGCGATGACTGCCTGTGCTCACGCGCAGCGAGCACGAGTGTCCAGCACGACTGCCCGTGCCTGCGAAGACGATGCATCAACCACCTCGACAGACTGCATGTGGGCTGGCGCCTTGCAGTCGCTCAGCAGGACTGCGTGCGCGCGCGTGCGCTGGCCCTGTAGCTCCATCACGTGACGCGTGGCACCTTGACGCA